TCTACCTCTACTAAATCAGAACATACAAAAAATGTATCGAGAACTTAAAAATCTAACGAAATAGTGGCAGTGTATTCCAAAATCACTCCTATGCAGCTTCTGATGGACACACATTTTCTGGAGAAGTAACGCGGATGATCGACTTTGCCGTTTTCACCAATATTAAGACATTTCGTAGCAAGATGCTTATTGTAAACACACAAAAAACCAACTTCCCAATTTTGTAGAATTTTGAAAAAAAAGTTTTTTTTCGAAATTTTGGAGAACCAAAAAAAAGTTCTAGAATGTTTTTTCCTTGAGATTTTTTGATGAGATTCAGCATAAGTATTTATGCATGTGCAGACATAATATTTGAAAAGTTTCATTCCGATAGGTCCACTTTGAGGGGAAAAATCTGACGAAATGCCTTACGTTTACATCCTTTTATACGGTACTGTATATCTTTCTACAATGAATGCTTTGGAAAGGGACATCAACTACAAAAACATAAATTTGGACATTTCCAATGTTTTCAGCAACTTTGAAATCAAGGGAATGGATTCTGGGGGTAGTATACGAGCTTAAAAATCGGTAGATTTTGTAAAAATGACATTTTTAAAGGTTTATTGTATGTGTAGAGTGGAACTTTTTGAACAATCTAAATTTTCTATGTGTAAATTCAAAAGGTGGCAAGGATGATTACAAGAAGAAAATATAGAATTCGTGACTCCTTCCTTACTAAACAACACTGTGAACATGGCTTCCGCATTGCATATTTTTATGCTTGAAACTATGTCTGTCAGAAATGTTGCATGGTTCCGGGAATCCAAAATACAGGTTTTCATAGTTCAATGTATGTTCCTGTATGAACACTAAAATGGCTTCCTCTTATGCTAGTCAGCTCAATCAGGTGCCTACCTAGAAAGATGCAGTACCACTCAGAACATAGTGGTAAAAATGAGCTAAAATAAGAAAAATTAACGAAAAACTTTATTTTCAGCACATGTTTGTCAAAAACGAATGTGGCCCAATTTTGAGTATAGATACAACCAAATTTTTCACATTAATGAATACATTTTGATCCCTTTTTGCTATATTTCGTATTTTCATTACATTTTGAAATCTGTGTTTTCAGTTATCTTTCATTGTTTCAAGTGAACTTATATGTGACGTTTTTTCGAGCCATTTTTTCGATTTTTTCAATTTTGCCAAATTGAAGAAATGGTAGCGGTCTCAAAATGGTATTCATTAATTGACAATCCGAATTAGTATTTACTTTAATCATATCCTGTTCAGTCCATATTCACAGTTTTCGAAAAATTTCAAAATTTAAAGTGAACTTATAAATATGTTACGTAGTGTATTAGTATCAAAAATTACTTAAATGAAACAGAAACGCTGGAGGTAGTTCCCAAAAGTTTCAGAATGAAACATACCGTAACCTGAAAATAGTGTTATTTCCCAGACTTTCGCAATTTTTCTGTCGGAAAAAAACTTTTTTGTCAAAAAGTTTCATCAGTATGATAGCGATGTTCATAGAAACTTAACAAGAACTCAATGACCCGTTTTTTTAAACATGGTTTTTTCATTAATTTTAATAAAAATAGTGTCTGTTTCAATTACTTTATGTCTTTTAGGTTGTTCATGAAATATCAACGCTTGGATCCAATGCTTAGTTTCGAAAGACAGATTTCTGTTAATAGTTTTTTGAAACATTAGAAATTTTTTGAATGTTATCTTTCAAAACCTTTAGTTGTTTTTAAAGAGAACTTTTTCGAACTCATACATTGCACCAATCTATTACTTTTCCAGGATCACTTCTCGAGTTGCCGTCAACCATTCTCCAATTCCACTTTTGCCGAATTACATATTCCATTTCCAACAGAAGACGACTCAAAATGCGGAGGAATTGAATCAGAACCACACAAATGGGAATATAATGTGGTTGTGGAGAGAAACGATATGAAGACACCATCATTGGTGACAACAAAGGATAAAACATTCCAAGTGACGTGTGATTTTTCAAAAATTGCAGACAAGAATCAGTTGGCTGCGTTGAAGTAAGTTCAATATAATAAAACCTTGTCAACGAGATTTTTAACATTTCCAAAAAGACCCATGCTCTTCGAAACATTATTTTCTCGGTCATTGATTCTTCGTTTTAATTATGAGCGATGTCAAATTTGAAACTTTGAAAAAATGGTAAAACCGAAAAAACACTTTCCAGACCAAAAGTGGAAGGGGACTTGAAAAGTGAGAAAATTCTGATGGAGATTGTCAGAAATGGCCAAGCAGTCACAACGGTTCCGTTGGGAGCCGAAGTCTCGTTGAGGTGGACAGGTGAGGATTTTTTAACGTATCAACAGGGCTGTGCAAATCGTGGCCGTGGCCGGCCGTGATTGAGGCCGTGGTTAGATTGCCGTTGACTAATCAGCCCGTTGTTCCGAAAGTACATTCAGCAACCCAGAAAATACCAGGGCCGCTAGGTCGCCGTATCCTACCTATCCTAGAAGTACCTTTTCCAGAAACCCGCGGCCGGCGGTGGCACAGCCTTGCGTTTCAATTAAGTCAGTTATTTTCATAATCATATAAAATGAATGTTTAGCTGCAGAGATTCATTTTCTGTAAATTTTAAAACCCGTTTCATAAACTTTTTTAAATTTTAAGGCGATAATTTAAATACATTGTGTTTCATTCATTCTCTCCATGAAATGAAAACCTTGCAAAGCGATCAAGAGATAACTTGTGAAAATTTTTAATACCTCAAAACCTGCAGTAAGAGAACCCCCTCCCTTCTAACTTCGAACTCATATATCTCAGGTCCTGTGAAAGATAACAAAAAAGTGTGGACTAAAAAACTTTTCATTAACATATCATTAACATTTTTGAATTTTAGAAAATGTTGATATCTCTTAAAGAAATCGAGAAAATTGAGGTCCAAGTGTAAATCTAGCGCGATGTTCTATCAGAGCTTTAAATTTTTTCTCAAAAACAAGACTGCAACTTCAGTTTCATGTGAAGTTATGATGTTACAGTAAAATTCGCCTCATAATCATTTTCAGTTAAGAATTTCCAGATTTAAATTTTTCTAGTGTTTCAAATATAATTTGAATTGTCTTCTGTTTTTGATGTTGTCGTTTTGTTGGTTGCCAGAATAATTATATGCTGCAAATTAATTACTTCAAAACCTGTAAAAGAAAGGCCTCTAATCGTTCATCTCATCTGATCTTTATTTCAATTTATCTTGATTTCTGTAAAAGATGTCAAAATTGTCATTTGATAGAATGTTGGTGACATTATGCTGAACATTTTATGCATTGACACATTTTAGATATTTTTCACAGGAACTGAGATAAATTAGCTCGAATCTGAAAGCTGTGGCGCTCCATTAGAAGGATCTTATGAACTTCAGGTGGCGTTCTATCATAGGAAATAAGAAAATTTGATTGTGATAAGGATTTTATGAATTTATTCCAACAACCTGGGGAGGAACTGAAAAATTGTGATTCCTACCATAAAAATCCCCTCATAGAAACTGAATTTTTTTTTTGAATTTTGCCAAAATTTTCAAACAGTTTCCATGAGAAGATATCTGGCCAATTTGACACATTTTTTTCCAGTGAGATGTTTCAATATAAATAGAAACAACTAGGAAATTAATATATAGTAAAACATGTATTAGAAGGGCCGGCCCTTCTATTTTTCCATGGTATCTCCGGAGGGCCCTTCTATTACAGGGGCCCTTCTGTTAGAGGGGGCCCTTCTATTTTTCCGGTCAGTTTTTTCTGAAATTTCGCATCAAAATATTCGACAAAGTTTTATTCAAAATTCATGAAAACCTGCCAATTTCACCAAAATTCAGCAAGATTTTCATGGAAAAATAGAGTTTCAACGAATTTCTATTAAATTGTAGAGTTCTCGGAATATTTTTCACTGAAACAGTACGGCAATTTTTGAATTTCAAGGCACATTTTGAAGGGGGAAAATTTTTGAAATTTCTTTACTGGGGCCCTTCTATTGCGGGGCCCTTCTATTAAAGGGGCCCTTCTAATACAGGTTTAGGCTTTTTCTTTATGTTCTAAAACCACCACTTTGATAATTCATCCTTCAAAAAAAAGTTTTTTTTTCAGTCATCGATCATTCCGAAAATCTTGGATTCTTTATAAACGAATGTATTGCCGAACGTGTCGGAGGTCAACCACCCCATCCGGAACCTCTCAAGATCATTTATCAAGGGTAACCAAATTTAAAAAAAAACTTTTTTCAACTCCAATTTTTTCCAGATGCCCAGAAGAAAAAGTTCGCAACCGCCTTCTCCACGACCCAGTTGTCAAAAAAGACGACGTTTATTCGACTAAAATGAAAGTTTTCCGATTCGATGGATCCCGCAGAGTTCGAATAAAATGTTCGATAGATGTCTGTGTGGAGACTTGTCCCCCGGTTAGTTTTTACAAAAAATTTTAAAAATTCTACAGCGAATAACAAGAGAAGAGTTCTCAAAAAATATATGTTCTTTTTATGTTTTCCTATCCACTCCGGCCACAAAAACATGCGAAATCTCGCGATTTCCAGCCGAGAGCACTAGAGAATCAATGAGTGTGTCGGCGAGAGAGTTGGCGAAAAGTGGAGAGTCCAGAGAAAACGAGACAGCGTCAAAGTACTTGCCAATCTGCAAAAACAGTAAACATTGAGGTCAAGATTTGTTATCTCTCTTTGCTTTTTGTTTTTTACCTCAAGACTTCCTGTAGTTGAGGTTAGAGATAAGGCGCGTGCTCCGGCAATTGTAGCACATTGGAGAAGTTTTTCTGGCGACAGGCCACACACACTTCGAGAGTTGTTGAGCATCTAACAAGACGTAAAATGGATTAAACATAGGAGTTAGAATTTTCAGGTTGAAATACAAAAGTAGACATCGTATTTTTTTTTGAGATGGAGGTCAATTGGAGGGTGGAATTATATTTCTCAATACACATCTAGGAGAACGTTCTAATAGAGGGCGGCATTCAATTAGCAGGGACACCTTGTAGTTTTTACGGCATTGATGTTGAGTGGTTATAGTAGGAATATTTTAGTGTCAAAATATCTATTACATCGGTCATCATTACACCATTTTTTACATACTTGCGGAGTTCAAAGTTGCGATATGACCGAGTTCAAAGTTGCGAAACTTTCAAGCGGTACATCTCCTTTGGATTAATTTGTACGAGAGTGCTGCCAACTACAAAATTGAAGTTCTATTTTTGTTAAGTAACCCTGAAAATTTTCCAAGAAAAATTTAATGACAGTTTTAGCCGGTACTGTACACTTATATTTATCTTAACTGGGTACATTGAACAAGAATTGAGATCATTTCAGACAGGCTCTAAGTGTGACTACCAAAAAAACCGGTAAAAAACGAGAAAAATCAGAAACAGACGTTTCAAGATAAGCATTTTTCAAAATTTTGTCCCTGTTGTTTTGTCTGGTTGATAGCAATATGAGCATTGCTAATTTTTTTTACTTGCTTTGAATTCAAACCTAACAACAACTTGACCATAGATTTCTAATTTGTCATCAGACCGTACCACTCAAGTGATTCTCTTAAAATCAATACAACTCAAATGAAACGCTTCAAAATTTTTCAGTTTTAATAAGTTCGTAAATTTTATAATTCATATAATGCGCATTGGTTGACGGAACTTGATTACACACCTAAAATCGGGCATGATAGCTGTAGGCAGTGTGACACTGAGCCTTGTACACCGCTGCGTCAGAATTCATGTCCTAACTTCAAAAAATATATCCTGCCCCCTTGCTTTATCAAACATTTGCCAGGTACTGTATTAAAACGCTCCAACTTTTTTTCAGTTTCAATAAATCCCTAAATTTTCTAATTTCCATCATGTTTTGATAATTTACGAATTAATCCTTTTCTCTTTTCATTAAATTGCTCACCTGCTGCGAAAAGCACGCCCATCTCATCTCCTCCAAAAAACAGATTCGATTGTTACAATCTGTTCCAAAACTGATTTTTAGGTTCTCATTTATTCGTGGAATTCCATCGCCGAGGTATCCTAGAATCATAATTTCGAATTTTCTAAGCTGATTCAAAATGAGATTTTGTCTTATCTGTTTCTCATAATCTCTAAAGTTAGCTAAATCTTGTTTCTTGAGTGACAATGAGTTTAATTCAAAACTTACCTTCCGTGCAGGGACAAATCGAGACATTCGCTCCGAGTTTCGAGAACTGAACCATATTATTCGCAGGAGTGAATGTGGCATGAACCGCGGTGAAATATTTGTTTAGTTGCATTTGAGATAGCAGAATGTCACTTGGTCCCTGAAACTTTTTTTCGGTTTCGTAGTGTTTTTGAAAACAGTTTAAAGAGAAATTGATGATGGGTTGACGAATTTCTAACCTGTTTCTGTCCGATCCACTTTTGGCAGTCTAGAATCTCTTTTGGCTGTTCCTCCAAATGAATATGAAACGGGATCTTCTCACCATTTGCAAACTCAAAAAGTCGCTTGATATTCTCAAATGGGACTGCTCGTGCAGAATGAGCAGCCACCCCAATTTGAACTCTAGGATGTTCCTGTCTCTTTCTCAGAATCTCTAAATTCTCAATGAAATCTTCGTAGGACGAGATGAATCTCTCTTGGACCGGATGAACAGCCGGATTATCGAAACCGGCTTGTTCGTAGAGAGTTTGAAGAAGAACGATACGGATTCCAGAGTCGATGGCTGCTTGAATCACCGATTGGTCCAAATCGAATCTGGGGAAAACATAACATTGGAAAATGAAATTTTTACGAAACAGAAAGTCGTACTTTTGTTCCGAGTGATGCACATAATGAAATTCTCCAACAGTGGTTATTCCGGCATTGATCATTTCTTTGAAGGTCGATAAGCAGTACTGGAAATTAAATGGAATTTATTAAGGTTTTTAATTTTTGTCTAATTTGAGCACATATATCTCGTTTCCTGTCAAAGTTATCAAAACGTGGTCAACTAACAAAATGTTTGTCATAATACCAATAATACTTTGTTAGTTGACTACTTCTTGACACCTTCTACGGAAACCAAGATAAATTAGCCCAAAGTTGAACGTCAAGGGGTCATTATATTACAGGTTTTACGGTATTGTAGTTTTCAGCCATTTTGAAAACTGACACTGGAAACAATTTCTGAAGCAAAAAACTAGTTCCCATTTTAGATTTAAAAAATTTCACAGTTTCCCATGAGCGGCAAAATTCATATTCATAATGCGCTCACGATATGTCCAGACCTCTGACTGACTATTGTAACTGTCCACCTTACAATCTACCAAAACGATGTGACATTTCTAAGCTTCCCCATTACCTGATATATCTTTTCCTTGGTAACCTCAGCAACCAATCCATACATATTATCCCTCCACTTCCAAAATGTGTCAGCTGCCGACTTTCCGATTTCCGACTTGCCTCTCAAGTGACGATGAAATGCATGAGAATGCGTATTGACGAATCCTGGCACTAGAAGATGATTGCTCAGATGAACATTGTCGTCGAACACTTTCTTGTTGATTTCTACGATTTTTCCGGATTCATCCACGGAAATGGAAACGTTTTTCTCGATTTTTCCGTCAATCCAGGCGTATTTTACATGTAGAGTTTTTCCGCGAATGTTCATCTGAAAAATAGAAAAAATTAAGAAGTGCTGTTTCATCATAAACATAAGAACAAAACGAGCAAGGTTTAATATTGATTGGACAATCTCATTGACTACTCTACTAGAACGACACCTTAACTTTCAACTTTGAGCGCATATATCTCATTTCCTGTAAAAGTTATAAAAAAGTGGCCAACTGACAAAATATTTATCATAAAATGAGCAACATTTTGTCAGTTTACCACTTTTTGATATCACTTACAGAAATTGAGATAATTGAGCTCAAAGTGCAATTATAGGGGTACGTTCGTTTAGAGTCTTATGGAGTGATTTTTTGGAATACTTAATGGTGTTTTTGCGAACTTTTGTAGTGTGAATTATATTTTTAAATATTTTTTTTTTATATTGAGCTCATTTTTAAAAGTTAAAGAACTTTTCTCAATATTGAGCTCAATTTCAAGAAAATCACCACAAAGTTGCTTGCTGTTTCATAATGGGGTTATACTTGGAATAGTATTTTTCTTGCGGTTCTTGATCGTGGGAAACTGGCGTATACGGTAACTAAAGAAATCAGTACCAATCAAAGTAGTGACAGCATGCTTTAAGTGAACAAAGATTAATTAACCTTAAATTTTAAATTTTAGCAAAATCAAGTTTTCAGGTAATCTGTGACGATTTGGAAGTTCGAAATGTGGATAGTTTTGGAAGAAAGAAACGGAGTTCGAATGTGGAGAAATGGCTCAAATCTGGGGTGATTTTTCTTTTTCAAGTCCAGAAGATCCAACATGGTCTTAAAAGGGAAGTCGTTTTAGAAAGGGGTTGAGAATTTGCTTATTTTTGATAGTGGTTAGTGGTCCGTCGACGGTCCGTCGACGGTCCGTCAGTTCTCCTTCGGCTGCCAACTAGCAGTCATTCGCCAGTTTGCGCCTCCTCAGCTGTCATTTAGCAGTATTTCAGCAGTCCCCCTCTACCTGTGTATTCTTTCCTTTTGAAACTATTTTTGCTTTTTTTGATCAATTTCCTAGGCACCTATTTTGGGCTCCACGATAGCTTTCTGTGCGAGATTTTAAATTTTTACCGAATTTTCAACTTTTAGATGAAGAAATCAACGTTTTTTTTCAATGTAATTTTTTCGAAGTTTTCAAAGTTTTTGATGGGAGAAATTTCCGCCAAAATTTTTTTGTTCAAAATTTTTTAATTTTTTTTTGTATGGAATGTGTTTCTGTGAGTTCTTATTAGTTTTTCATATATCTCCTGCTCTTTTTCGACTCGAAATACCTCGAAAAACAATTATTGGAATGGTTGAAAATCGAGAGATGACTGTAAATTATGAGTGGTTTTGTATTGTTCTTGGCCTAAAAAGGGCAGGAAAATCATGAAAAACTAATAAGAACTCACAGAAACACATTCTATACAAAAATTAAAAAATTTTGAACAAAAAAATTTCGGCGGAAATTTCGAATGGGTTTGCCCATCGCGCAGAAAGCTATCGTGGAGACCAAAACAGGTGCCTAGGAAATTGATCAAAAAAAGCAAAAATAGTTTCGAAAGGAAAGAAGTGAACTCGGACCTTCAGTTTAATCACCCGCGCCCACAACCACTGAGCCACCTCGCCGATGAAAACATAAGAGCGCGCGGGCGTACAACTGAACGGTGTTCCCGGGAGGTCGCAGGAGGCGATATCACAGAGGAGAGTGAGGTTTACAATGGTTAAGAAATTGGACACTTTCAGACTAAAATTTTCAGCATTTTTGAAAAAAGTGCATATACAGATTTTGACAGGAGGTTTACAAGGGTGTTAACTAACCACTGTCAAAAAATAAGCAAATTCTCAACCCCTTTCTAAAACGACTTCCCTTGTTAGATCCCTGTTAGCTTATGTCCTGTTTTCATATGTGTTAAAGAATCGAAACAGAAAAAAATTCCATCAAGCAAAACTTTCAAAGCTGTGTTTTTCTAAATTAACAAAATGAAAATAGTTCAAACTTTCATCCGAAAAAGTTCCAAAAAGATGAAATACATGAAAAATGGATTCCATTTAAAATTCATGCACTTTATCCATCAAAAATGTGACAAGTGCATATGGCGCATCAAATCTCCTTTGATACATGTTTCCTCTTTTCTCAGAATACATATTTTCAAACCAGTCGAGAAAAAAACGTCTTCTGAAGACTTTGCTAACTTGAAGAAATGGAAAAAATAGTTGCAGATAAAGTTTTGATATAAAACTAGATATCTACAGTATACCAGACAAACATATACCAATTTCGACTTTATCAAAGAAAATTATTCAACTTTGAAGTCATAAGACAGTTTTTCAGAATGTTTCAATTTTCCTGAAAATTTCAGAGTATACTAACCAAAAATAGAGCTTCATTTTTGTAATTGACAACTTTTTTCTACAGTTTCAACGAAGCGGGATAGGCGGTTTTAAAGTCCCAGAACTCTGATTGTAAGTCATGTTTGGTGAAGTCGGCATATCTCATCAGTATGAAATTTAGCAAAAAAGTTGCCAATTGCAAAAATGAAGCTCCAAACTTGTTTAGCATACTCTGAAATTTTCAGACAAATCGATCAATTCTTGAAGACTTTTTTGAGCTTTTTGAGGGCTTCAAAATTGCCTATTTTCCTCTTTTTCGACTTGATCGAATTTTCAAAAAAAAAAAGTATCGTTACAGCAAAAAAAGGAGACACGAAAACGACGAATGGTCACCGGAACGCTTACAATAACAGACGAAGAAACACGAGAAACGGTCAAACCTCGACCAGGTATCTCTATTTCCTCTTTTCTCTGCACTCTCCTCTTCTTACACACTATTTCTTCGGTTAATGGTTTTACGTTGCAGTCAATGTGTATCATTGTTGTTGTGTTTAATGGGTTGGAGATGGATGTGGAGATGTAATGTGAGAAGGGAATGAGAGAGATAGAATCAGAATGAGATTGGTTACGATTTTTGGATTGGACAACTAAAATTGAGAAAAATTAGAAGAGAATTTAAAAATTACTGTTTCAAAAAATTTAGGAGAGACTATAAGTTGAAACATTTTGATGGGTTTCAGAACAGCATAGGATACCATTAACACTCTAATAGAATTCCCACCTAACTTTCAACTTTGAGCCTATTTATCTTGGTTCTCGTGCGAGGTGTCAAGAAGTGGTCAACTGACAAATCGTTCATTATATTATCAGAAATGTTTTATCAGTTGACACCTTTTTGATATCTTTAATAGGAGCCGAGATAATTAAGCTCAAACTTGACTGTGTGGCGGATTTTTTATTATAGGTGTATCGGTAATTTAAAGTTCTTCTTATTAGTGCTTAACGAAGTAAAAATTTGCAACATAGTTTCAGAAGTATTTCTTGGAAAAAGATTCAATTTATTGCAACTGTATTTTTTATTTGGAGTCTGAAAAATGTTTTACTGTTTTGTTCATTTTGTATAAGTCCGGGTACATGGAATAGGTTGGTAGACTTCAAAACTGACTTCAAAAGCAAAAATGATCATTTTAGTCAAAAATTGTAAACTTTTAGGGTCGGTATATGTACCTAGTACTTGTTCGTTTGATTTGGAAATTTCAGAGGTTATGGACCAAATATAACACTCAATACTAATTAACTTTTTAAGATGAAAAACGAAAGAAGACAATATGTTTTTTGCTAAAAGCTCGGTAAAACATGGAAAAGGATGTATTGTGAATTACTTGTTGGAAAAATACATCATTTCCACCTATTTCAATGCTTTTTTCAAAAATTGAAAAGCGTTTATTCTTTGACAAAAAAGTTCAGTAAGAGAACTCAAAAAGTATTTCAAGTTTTCAGACCAAGCATACAAATGTCAAGTAATTTTTTAGATACTTAAAGACGAAGATTTTCAACGAAAACGGTAATTTATGCTTTTTTCAAATCGTATCATTTAAACGAGTTCATTGGAACTTCAATGATTTTATAACAAAAACTGTGAAGTTAGTGAATATTCGAATCAGTAAAATTATTTCTAATAGTCAGAAACGACATAAAATAAAAAAGATGGCTGCACTAAAAAAATGCATCAGAAAAATTGAAAATTTATTGTCTTCCTTCTTTTTCAAGAAGTCTTCTCTATTTGCTAACAACTCCCAAAGTGTTGACAGGCGAGAAGACGTCAGAGTAAGGGTTAGGAATTATGAATGTACCCCTTTGGGAGAGGAAAGAAGCTGTGCAACATAACTCGTTCTCATCACTCACCCTCTTTTTCTTCTTCAGAATTCTCAACGTCTTCTTCTTCATCTTCTTCCCAACAATTCTGCGTTCAAAAAGATCGAATCGAGTTGGTTGTCGTCATCGTCGTCGTGCTGATTCTTCTTCAAATCGGACTCGCTCTGTTTTTCTACAAAAAATGTGCGACTCGATCTGTTTCAGACACGTCGTCTAGTGTGTATTCTGAAGGAAGTTCTGAATGCTCTACCACGTCATCTGCGTACAATACTTGTAATCGACAAATGATAGTTGGACAGGGGCCGGTGCTTCCAGCAAGACCGTCGAGATTTTCAGATGGAGCTCCGTTTACGGAAAATCCCTATAATCGATTACACCATTTTGCTTGAGAACCATTTTAGCTTCGGTTTCACTTTTATTGTAAAATAACTAAAAAAGCTCACTGCAATTTTTATTTTTGAATTCCAATGTCCATATCTGTGCATTTATCCTTTTTTCTCTTTTTCCTCCTACCTATGTGCCGTTTTATGCTCCTCTTGACTATTTCAATAACTCTCCACATTCATTTTTTTCTGTTTCTTAATGTTGTCTTTTTTCTCTCATAAAATTTCATTTTGTTGATTAGCGTCGAATTGTAGCTTTTTGGAAAACCGAAATATGAACAAACATGAAAATTTGAACAACTTATAAGATACCGAGAATTGTTTTTTTTTCGGTTTCTCATGGTTTTTTAATAATCTAAGTACCCAAGATAAAAGTATTGTCTTTTTCATTTCAATGCAAACTTTTTTTTTCGAATCAGGCTTCATTATCAATGCAGCATACCGCAAAGCCTATTATTATGTTTGAGGTCTCCTAGCCGAAAAAAATATTTTTGATTTTGTGATCAACATTTTGTTATATTAACTCTATTCTCAACACTGCCAGTTAGGATATCTCGGCTAGTTTTTATCAATTCATATTGATTTTTGATTAGTATACTGAAAATATTTGATACTAACAAGGGAATGTCATTCTGAAAGCTCTTCAGAATTTTCTCTAAATTGGCTAATTTATAGAATCAAGAATGGGGTTTTCCGTAATAAGAGTGGCAGTCGGCAACACTCGCTGAAACTCGGCAAAAATCAATCTGAAAACGTGAGATTTAAACGAGTCTTTGGTTCAATGTATCTTGGTTCTTGTAAAAGATATCAAAAAACTTTTGAGAGCAAAAATGTTTGACTTAAGACCAGCAACATTTCATTAGTTGACCAATTTTGGATATCTCAAACTTGGAACAGGATAATTGGGGTCAAAAGGAGTATCTTTTTGAAAAGTTTCACAGATATCAAAAGCGAAAATTCAATATTTAGTTATTTAAAACGTGATGAAATTTTTTTTGTTAAGTGGTCATAAAAATTACATTCTCCACCGAAGAATCGACGTGAATTGATAAAGAAACCCATGACCCTTCATGCCCCATTGACCTCAGGGAGAATACTATAAAGGAAGAAGAAAGTGGAGGAGAGAATTAGTTCTCGCCTTCTCTGGGCTTCCAAGAAGGGAGCCTGGAGAAAGGGTCCTGTGCCTGGGTGACCGGGTTCCGGGTGACCTGGATCCAGGTGAGTTGGGTCCTGGGAATCTACTCTGTCCTTTGGGATATCCTCTTGGCGCTGCAACATGATGCATCAACCGATAATTGAACCCGGGCCATCTCGACTGGATCGGAAGAAAGGTCAAATGCTAGTAGCGGATCTAGAAATGATCGTTGTGTTCTAGAGAAACCTGTCAAATTTGAGATAATTTATTTCAATACCTGTAACTGAAATCAGACAATGCAGTGTCAGAAACAGGATCATTTGGAGCGTTACTGTTGATGGTTCAGACTGAAAATAAGACAATTAGTTATTGATCTAACCATTTATTTTTGAAACTGGATCAAATGAATGATGAATTGTTTTCTACTTATTCTCTGTGTTTTTCATATCTCCGTTCATGTAAGAAATATGAAACAAAATAATTTTCAATATTATGATTTTTGTTTCATTTATTTTATCACTTTGCATAAGTTTATAATAAGATTGATGACTTGAACATTTGAAGAAAAATCATTGGAAAGGCTGAACTTTTCATCAATGTCCTTTATTCATATTCTTTTCGGAAATCAATGAAGATTTTTATTGTTGTTTACCCTTCTAATCCTTATAAAAATGACTTTTCAATCCTACTTGCAGCTTTAAATAGAATGTTCCAATTTAGCAGAAGAAGCATCAACATGTTTACCTGATGTATGAATCATTGCTCCAGACTAGGTTTCCAGACTCAACACGTGGCTCCGGACGACTTAGAACGTAGATCTGTTTTTTATTGTAAAAAAAAGAGTTTTTTTCCAAATTTTCTTTGTTGTTGTTTTTTGTGATTTTTGGTCTCTTTTGATTGAGATTCTTTAATAGAAGGGAGAAAGATTATAGTTGGTGATTCTTCAAAAACAGCGGTAATGAAAAACTACCCACTAAAATATGAAAGTTGTGAAACTGAAAAAAATTGTCAAACAAAAACAAATTTGACGAGTAGAAATCTCGCAAATGGAATACAAAGATTTTTCAGTTTTCTCGGGAATTGGAAAAAAATAACTTCAATAACCTGCTGCAAGTTTCTAAAAATCAACAAAAGATTTTTCTCGATTTTTTCACCCTTCACGCTCTCCCACAAAACAATTCCGAACTGCAAAACAATTTTTGATCTTCAGAAAAAAAGTTTGGCGCGATCACAATTGCAGGTCTAAAACCATAATTTCAGAATTTTTTATCTGATTTTGTGGTGATTGAAAATTAATCAAATGATTCTTAAAAAATCATTTAGGGGTTATAGAATCATGTATGGCCCTTTTCCGGAAGAAAAAAATCTCAAAAATGGTCATTTTGAAAGTTTTTTACAGAAAAAATCTATCTCCTCTTTCAGTTTTTGACATTTCTAGGAGTTCTTTAGCTCAAAAAACCGCAATTATTTTCTCTACATTTTCTATGGATGAATTTTTGATTCGTCTTATAAAACTTCTTTTATAATTACAAAACAACACAAAAATGCTATTTCGTGCATTTTCATGAGGTTTTTGAATTATAAAAAAAAGTTTTATCAGACAAATTAAAAATTCATACATAGAAAATGTAGAGAAAATAATTGCGGTTTTTTGAGCTAAAGAACTCCTAAAAATGTTAAAAACTGAAAGAGGAGATAGATTTTTTCTGTAAAAAACTTTCAAAAATGACCATTTTTGAAATTTTTTCTTCCGGAAAACGACCATACAATTTTTTAAGAATTATTTGAACCATCTTGGAACTCCACAAAATCCGATAAAAAATTCTGAAATTATGGTTTTAGACCTGCAATTGTGATCGCGCCAAACTTTTTTCTGTAGGTCAACAATTAATTTGCAGCTCGAAATTGTACTGTGGGAGAGCGTGCCCTTGGAAGCAACTTTTTGAGGTTTTACAGATAATTGTCTCGAGTTCTTTTTCTCTATGTGAGGCTTTTACTGCAATGAAAATTGTGTACTATCTGAAATCATAATTATTGTTTTATTAGAATATCATGAAACATGAAATTTATGAAACGGAAAAAATTGCCAGACAGAAAAAATAAATAATATTGGTGAACTCACAAGCCAATTTGTCTTCTAGATTTTTTCAAAAAAAAATGCAAATCAAGAATTTTTTGTGTCTTAAACAATTTGATTTCCGGAGCTGAACGCATTTTTTTAAAAACGCAAGGAAAACTGACAAATGATGGGATTTATTTTTTTTAACAACGAACATTTATTTTTAGGTTTTCAGATTTTCAGCAAAGCTCTGTTTATCTGGTTTCTGAAGCGTACACATGGTTTTTTCAGAGATCAGACACATTCAGATTGCATTACAAAATGATTTATTGAAAAGTATAAAGAAATGAGAATGGAAAAAATTGAAGTGCGGTTTTCAGATGGAAAAATACTGTTGCTTTCATTTGTGATATTTTTTTTTCCAAAAAACTGATCGTAGTAAGGGTTTGGGCATTGAAAACCATTTTTTAGGAAAAATTAAGTAGTCTCAGTGGCCGTGATCGAAAGTCCTAAAACTCCTGAAACTTGAAAATGTTCTTGTTTTCCGGCTTTTCCCCCAATTTTGACTATCTTCAACAGTTATTCTTTGGGAAACCGAAAAAATCGAAACATAAACATTCCGAAAAATAAAAATATTAGCTTACTGTATTTTTGGCACTGGGACCTTCGGTCACAACCACCGAATTATGTATTGGTACCAGCACAACTACTTCTTCAAAAAGAATCACTAAATCAAGAGGAATACAAATTTTATGTTTCGGAACGACTACATGGTTGCGATGCTTTTTCCGAAGTTGTCGGGCGCTCAACGCTATCATGGACGAACAAGACAATCATTAATCAATGAAATTGATATTATAATTGTAATCCGAAAAATTAGAAAAGATGTTTTTGCAATCATTTGTCTTTTTACAGGCTTACCATTTCATGAAACATTTTAGAACCAATAATTCAGTTGTGTTTATTGCATTATTAGCTTTTGAAGCTTGCACATCGAAATATCGGAACTTTGAAACATTTGAAATTTCAAAAACCCCGAGATTTTTTGTTCGTGATGAAGTTCTGATAGTGAGTTGAGTTGTTGCAAATTGATGACTAATCTGTAATTTCAAAATTTGCTGGACTTTCGAAAAAAAAAATTGCAGACTAGTCTGAAATTTTCAAAAAAATTCGGAATTCATTTTCTCATACTCTAAATACCAACTCAAAAAACTTCTCTGATTCTGATTCATGAGCTTCCAAAGAATACGTAGCTTCTAAAACAACTTCTAAAACACTTTTTGCAGGTTTTGGCCTCATGCCGAAAAGTACACACTTCATTTTGCACCCATCACATTCTCAAATGTTTTTGTTTTCTAAAACCCTCTCCTCGTGGCTTCTCAATTTCAAAATCTATTTTGATCAAAAGCCCACGGAGCCCATCATAAGGTTCCCATGTTTTTAATGTTATCTTTTTTGTTCTATTTTCACATCCCATGTGTTTCTGTCGGCGGGACCCTGACCATCCAGGTGGTCCGTGCAAAAAATGAAAAGAAAAAATAAAGCAAAACAACAGATGGCTATATCCCTTTGGTGTAATTTTAGAACTCTTAAAGAACCACCCAATTGAAAACATCACATGTTTGTTTTTCGCGGATTTCTCTGGAAATCTGTGTTGTTCTCGAGTGTTTGCTCGAAAAGTGGGCGGGGCTTCTTAAAAAACAAGTCTGGAAAAAATGTGGGTGGAGTCGAGACAGAGGTACTGTCATGAGGCATTCCAAAAGAGCTGTATAAAAGAAGTGAGGCTTCTGTGAGCTGGCAACAACTTCCTATTATTACTAAAACTGAAAATTTTCAGAAAAAACTTCCCGAAAACCCCGAATTTCAAGATGATGAACATTGCAGTTGACCATGACCAAGGGACCAAGTGGGACTGGCCACTCCAAAAAGGAGATGGAGTTGTTAATGTGAGTTACTGTAGTTCAAATTTATTTGGAAATCTGGAGTTTCAGAATTTTCCGCTTCATGTGAATGATATTAGAACATCATGCTTTGACAGTATCCAATATATTTGGTGTATTCTGAAGAAAAAATTGCTGATTCATTAAGTTTGTAAAGGCTGAGGCACACAATCCATTTAGTCATCTAGTCGCTATATATGTATTAACTTTTGGCTTTTCTGAATTGAATTTTTCTAAAAAAGAGAAGTTTTTAAGATTCTAATAGCCAAAGTTTCTTGAAAATAGTTCTAGAAGTTTTGATAACACTTTCTCAACCAATTTAAACAATTTTTGAGGTCTTTAGAAGGGCCCCTTACTTTTAACTTTGATCTAGTATTTCTCGGTTCCTGTCAGAGATATAAAAAAATTGTAAATTGATACAATGTTTAGCATAATTTTGGAAGTCTTTTGTCAGTTAACACGGTTTTGATATCTTGCATAGGAATTGAGATAACTGAGCTTGAACTTGACAATATAGGGGTCCATCGAGTTTTTAACAAAAATCACTGCTTCGAAAGTTCTAGAAAGTATAACTGTCTTTCTTTCTTTTGAGCCATCTAGCCTTAATTTGGCCGACTTAAAATTATTTCTGTCATTGAGCTATTTCGAATTTCGTTTTTCTAGTGAAGACAACTTTTGAATATTGCACACACAAATAAGGCTAACTACAATATCTTAAAAATACTAGAATTTTTAATAACATTTTTGCTAACTGGTTGAATCAGTTTGAAAAGGATTGTTCCTCAGACTTGTCTCTCTGAAAATGACATAATATTGGGGGTTTACAAAAATAACTGTTTTGGAACTTCTAGAAATATCTATAATTCTTTGTTAAATTTCAGTACCATCATTATATTTCCTCTAATTCCAGGTCCTCGACGACGATGATCACTTCGAAGTGGGTCTCGAAGCCCATCACTTCCTTCCAAAGGAAATCGAAGTGAAGAATATTGGAGAACTTTTGGAGATCCATATGGAACACGTTGTGAAGAAGGACAACTTTGGAGACGTCTCCCGTAATATCACTCGTTGCTACAGACTTCCCAAAAATGTCGACATGAAGACCATCAAGAGCAACTTGGACTCCAATGGAATCCTTCATATTCATGGAAGAAAAATGCATTAGAGCAGCAGGATGGACTAGTCAACTGCCATGACAATTATTTCTTTGTTTGTGTGAAAAATATATACTTTGTGATTTCCGGAAATCGATTCTGTAAAAAATATATAACTCCTCTTTTGTAAATAAACGAATGTACATACCATGTTTCTGACAAAAAATGAATTTTAGATAAGAATTCTTCAAATGTTCTTTATTTTTTACTTTGTTGAGGCTTAAAGAAACATTTTCCAGGTGACCAGCTTTTATAAAAGAACGATCTGAACAGTTTTTTTTGGGACACTCCCAAAGCCATATTTTTAAGCTTTAAGGTATTCCAGTATTTCGATACGGTCACAATTCAACAATCAGTAAATAGAAAAAAATACTTCCGTAAACAGCCCAAATGAAACAGAGAAAATTGTTTCAAATGTGCTAGACTTGGAAAAGTATCAGAATGGTAATTCTGTTGAAGCATCTGGACAAATTATTAAGGAACCGAATTAGCTAGCTCCGGCTTTGGATTGTGTCACGAATTTCAAAGTTTCAGACAAAAAAATTAAAGTGGAAAAGATATTTTGTTAGATAATTTTCGGATGACCCGTTCATTCGGATGATTCTGTTTTTGAAAATGGAGATCCTATTCTATCGGGTATACTAATATTTCAAAGCAGACAAAAGATTCAATTCAGTCAATGGGAACATATTTCTATAAATAGCCCATATGAAACAGAAAAAAAATTGTGTCAAATGTGATGGACTTGAAATAGTATCAGAATGGAAATACTGTTGAAGCAATGACCAATGTTTGAGGATCCGAATGAGTTTGCAAGCTTAGGCTCTGGGTTGTGTCACGAATTTCAAAGTTTCTAGCAAAAAATTATACAAGAAAGAGATTTTGTTTGACTTTGGATGATCAGTTCACTTGGATGAGTCTTTTATAAAAACCCGAATTGAAACAGTATTGTTTTCGAAAGTGAAAATCATATTTTCTAATCTTTCGGGTGTACTAATATTTCGAAACAAGCAAACAAAAGTTCAAATCATCTAATAGGAAAAATACTTCCATAAAAAGCCCATATGAAACTGTCGTGACCGACGAGCAGAAACAGATAAAAAATGGTGTTAAGTGTGACGGATTTGAAAAAGTATTAGAATCGAAACTTCTTTGAATTTGCTAGCCAATTACTTCGGGAACCACGACACAACCGAGCGAGCTTCAAGAAAGCGAGCTTTTTGAAAGACTTTCCTTTTTGGCCCGTTTTAAACTGAAAATGAATAAAAGAGGTATTCTTCAGGAATTGGCTAATAGCTCAAAAACTGGAATTTTCTAAAAATTCTGTGAATACGAAGGTTTCTAGATCTGTCTTACACCCTCAAAGTTTTTCAAAGAGATCGGGAACTTGACAGGCGAACTCCAGACTCGCGAAAATGGTCAAAATGAACGAAAATCAACTGAAAAAACTGTTTTTTTTTGTAAATCTTATTGACCAGTACTGTATATTGAAAATAAGAATATTGTCTTTTGAAATGCATACGTATTTTTTCCAGCTAAATTTCTATGAGGAGAGTGAAACCAGAACTCATGAAATCATCAAATTACGATATAATCGTTTCCGAGTTTCAAAAGTTTTTCTGTTACATCAACCACATAACTGATACTGCACATTCAAAAAATAATTTTAAAATGCCATGTATTTGAAATTCCATGAAAAGAAGGTTTGATTAGTCGGTGACCAGAACCGTTTTCATAATTAGCCCAGATGAAACAGATAAAAAAGTGATTTACTGCCAAATTAATTCTAATTTCATATCCAAGATTTTCAACAAAAAAAAGACAGATGGATTTTTGGAATTCTTACCTCCTATTTATGATTGAATTCCACCTAACTAAGAGAATGACACCAGAATTCCTACAAAGACGATATCATTGCAAAAAAGTCGGATAACGTAAAATTTTGATGGCGAAAAAATTGACTGAAAACGTACAAAAATCGAGAAAATAAATACGGAAAACTCCTTCTTCAGTAGGTGGCCTTCAGCCTTTTTTTACATTCAGCCCAGATGAAACAGCCAAAAGTTGTACTAAAGTAAAGTTGCAAATTATTTTTCAGTCAAAAAACCGCTGTAGGAAAATCAAAAAGTGAGGATCTTCTAATTCTGATGTAGCATTTATCTTTTAAAATCTGCTAAAATCATTCATTTTACAATTTTATGGAATCATTGAAAAGTGCGAACAGTGTCAAATATTGACACCCTATGACTACAGTACAGTGAAAAAAACTAACACGAAAGATGAGAATAAGTTAGGAGAGTATTGCAATATTGACAAAACAAGCCAACCGTTCTTTATAATTAGCCGAAATGAAACAGACGAATTTCTATAGAAACAAATTTTCTAATTAGGGCTTAAAGAGGGACTCCGACCAAAAATTTTTTGCATTAAAATGTGTTAAAATTTATCTATTTTTCAAATATTATTGCGAAAAAATTCAAAGAAAATTCGAAATCCCCGAAAAACGGCGTTGAAAAGGAAGAAAATTCAAAAAAAGGTGCCGCCGGGGGACGAGGATTTTCAGTGAGAAACCTAGGCCACGGCACCTGACAGCCTTTTTTCAAGCCGCCGACAGTGGTTTTTTACGTTTTTTTTACCTGCCGGACATGAAATTGAAAAAAATCCGG